TTTCACTCTCGAGAAAATCACCCTGTCAAATTTTCGTGAAAAAAAATTGAGGTAAGTAAACATGAGTTTTTAAAAGCGGGAAATTTTTTAATTTTTTCTGACTTTTTAATTTCAGTCTTTTTAGAAGACACACGTTTTTAAAACTTTTTTTAATTGTGCTTTCTTTCAATTTTCAAGTACTTTTGAACGCGAGAATTTGTTTCATTTTTTTTATTTCAAATTTTTTCAATTTACAGTCTTTCGCAAAGGCCGAGAAGTCTTTTAACTGTTTTAAGGCTTCCAAATCACACCGAAATTTTTCAGGCCAATTTTTTTGCATTCAGCCAGGAGATGAAACGTTTGTCCTCGGAATGAGAAACGAATGTCTTAACCACTAGACCACCGCATCTTTTGTCGAAAGGTATTGTTCTTTATTTGACCTAATTCTTTTCGACGAATTCTAAATTAAATAGTAATTTCGGTGGGAAAAATCGAACCTTTCCATGCAGGATTCGAACCTACCCTTACAGCCTGGTGGGTCGTAGTCTTAACCACTGGGCTACCGCATGACGTATATATTAAGGATGCTATCAATTGACATATAATCCGATGGCCGAGTGGTTAAGGCTACGGCCTACCTGGTTGTAAGCGTAGGTTCGAGTCCTGCATGGAAAGGTTCGATTTTTCCACGAAATTACTATTTAATTTAAAATTCATCGAAAAGAATTAGGTCAAATAAAGAACAATAGATTTCGACAAATGATGCGGTGGTCTAGTGGTTAAGACATTCGTTTCTCACTCCGAGGACAAACGTTTCAACACCTGGCAATGCAAAAAAATGGCCTGAAAAATTTCGGTGTGATTTGGAAGCCTTAAAACATTTAAAACTTCTCGGCCTTTGCGAAAGACTGTAAATTGAAAAAAATTTGAAATAAAAAAAATGATAACAAATTCTCGCGTTCAAAAGTACTTAAAATTGAAAGAAAGCACAATTAAAAAAGTTTTAAAAACGTGTGTCTTCTAAAAAGACTGAAAATTTAAAAAGTCAGAAAAAAATTAAAAATTTCCCGCTTTTAAAAACTCATGTTTACTTACCAATTTTTTTTCACGAAAATTTGACAGGGTGATTTTCTCGAGAGTGAAAAAATTTAATTTTTTTCACTTTTTTGAAATTCTCTTAGATTTTTTTTTCGACGCGAAAGTATTTTGTCTTGGGCTACCTGTGTCTGTCTTGGGCTACCTGTGTCTGGCTTGACACAGGTAGCCCAAGACAAAATACTTTCGCGTCGAAAAAAAAATCTAAGAGAATTTCAAAAAAGTGAAAAAAATTAAATTTTTTCAGTCTCGAGAAAATCACCCTGTCAAATTTTCGTGAAAAAAAATTTGGTAAGTAAACATGAGTTTTTTAAAAGCGGGAAATTTTTAATTTTTTTCTGACTTTTTAATTTTCAGTCTTTTTAGAAGACACGTTTTTAAAACTTTTTTAATTGTGCTTTCTTTCAATTTTTAAGTACTTTTGAACGCGAGAATTTGTTTCATTTTTTTTATTTCAAATTTTTTTCAATTTACAGTCTTTCGCAAAGGCCGAGAAGACTTTTAACTGTTTTAAGGCTTCCAAAATCATACCGAAATTTTTCAGCCAATTTTTTGCATTGCCAGGAGTTGAAACGTTTGTCCTCGGAGTGAGAAACGAATGTCTTAACCACTAGACCACCGCATCATTTGTCGAAAGCTATTGTTCTTTATTTGACCTAATTCTTTTCGATGAATTTTAAATTAAATAGTAATTTCGGTGGGAAAAATCGAACCTTTCCCAATGCAGGACTCGAACCTACGCTTACAACCTGGTAGGCCGTAGCCTTAACCACTGGGCTACCGCAAGACGTATATATTAAGGCTGCTATCAACATATATCCGATGGCCGAGTGGTTAAGGCTACGGCCTACCTGGTTGTAAGCGTAGGTTCGAGTCCTGCATGGGAAAGGTTCGATTTTTCCCACCGAAATTACTATTTAATTTAAAATTCATCGAAACGAATTAGGTCAAATAAAGAACAATAGCTTTCGACAAATGATGCGGTGGTCTAGTGGTTAAGACATTCGTTTCTCACTCCGAGGACAAACGTTTCAACTCCTGGCAATGCAAAAAAATTGGCTGAAAAATTTCGGTGTGATTTGGAAGCCTTAAAACAGTTAAAAGACTTCTCGGCCTTTGCGAAAGACTGTAAATTGAAAAAATTTGAAATAAAAAAATGAAACAAATTCTCGCGTTCAAAAGTACTTAAAATTGAAAGAAAGCACAATTAAAAAAGTTTTAAAAACGTGTGTCTTCTAAAAAGACTGAATATTGAAAAAGTCAGAAAAAAAATTAAAAAATTTCCCGCTTTTAAAAAACTCATGTTTACTTACCAAAATTTTTTTTCACGAAAATTTGACAGGGTGATTTTCTCGAGAGAAAAAATTTAATTTTTTTCACTTTTTTGAAATTCTCTTAGATTTTTTTTCGACGCGAAAGTATTTTGTCTTGGGCTACCTGTGTCAGCCAGACACAGGTTGCCCAAGACAGACACAGGTAGCCCAAGACAAAATACTTTCGCGTCGAAAAAAAAATCTAAGAGAATTTCAAAAAAGTGAAAAAAATTAAATTTTTCAGTCTCGAGAAAATCACCCTGTCAAATTTTCGTGAAAAAAAATTAAGGTAAGTAAACATGAGTTTTTTAAAAGCGGGAAATTTTTAATTTTTTTTCTGACTTTTAATTTTCAGTCTTTTTAGAAGACACGTTTTTAAAATTTTTTTAATTGCTTTTTCAATTTTCAAGTACTTTTGAACGCGAGAATTTTTTCATTTTTTTTATTTCAAATTTTTTTCAATTTACAGTCTTTCCAAAGGCCGAGAAGTCTTTTAACTGCTTTAAAGTTTCCAAATCACACCGAAATTTTTCAGGCAAATTTTTTGCATTGCCAGGAGTTGAAACGTCTGTCCTCGGATTGAGAGACGAACGCCTTAACCACTAAACCACCACATCATTTGCAAAAAGCTATTGTTCTTTATTTGACTAAATCCTTTTCAACGAATTTTAAATTAAATAGTCTTTTCTGGGTGGAAAAATCGAATCTTTCCCATGCAGGATTCGAACCTACCCTTACAACCTGGTAGGCCGTAGCCTTAACCACTGGGCCACCGGAATAATACATGTATCGTAAAGTTGGTATAAACATAAAATCCGGTGGCCCAGTTAAGGCTTTGGGCTACCAGGTTGTAAATTCTGTCATTACCCCCCAAAATCAGTCGGTCATCTCCCCCAAAAAAATTTTAAGAGAATTTCTAAAAAGTGAAGAAATATACATTGTTTCATTCCCCAGGAAATAAAGCGGTCAAATTTTCGTGTAAAAATTGAAAAAATAATAAATTTAATAAGTGAAGTGAGTTTTTTGAAAGCGGGAAATTTTTCAATTTTTTTTTAATTTACAGTCTTTCCTAAGAGACCAAAAAAACGCAGTGGTTATGACTCCAAGAGTCGAAGGTTTAGTATAAATGACTTTGCTCAATGTGGTGATTGTGGGACCCTTACCATTTCAAAAACATTTGAGGCCATTTTTAGCATGATAACAAAGTTTTGAAGGTGTCAATTTTTTCAAAAAGGGAAGGGGTACCGAAAAACCAAAAAGATTAGTCTTAGGAAACATTTTAAGCCATTTTCAGCATGTTAGCGCATTTTTAGAAAATTTTCAAAAGTTATCAATTTTACCAAACAATTTTGGTAAAATTGACAACCTTTGGAAATTTTCTAAAAATGTGCTAACATCCTGAAAATAGCTAAAAATGTTTCCTAAGACTAATCTCTTTGGTTTTTGAGCATATTTGGTTTGTTTTTGGGTACCCCTTCCCTTTTTGCCAAAATTTTTCAGTATGTTTCAAAAAGCAACCATGTATGCTCAGTCTTGAAGCAATTTTTAGCATATTAAGACATTTTTGTGAAACGTTTCGGCAATTTCGGCCAAAATGGTAAAGGGTACCCTTACCTTACCTTATCTTACCTTAACTTATGGTAAAAGGTACCCTTACCATATTGGCCAAAATTAACGAATTTTTCAATTTTCCAAATTTTAAAATATGCTCAAAAACGAAAGAAATTTGTCTTAGTAAATATTTGAAGCCATTTTCAACATATTAACAGATGGGTTAATCATTTGGCAGGATCATCCTAACGGTTCCTAGACTCTACAATACGAATTTTAAAAATTAAAATATTAAACACACACTAGTATATACAGTATGTCAAAAATTTAAAAATTCGAAAAAATAGAAAAATTTCCGCATTCAAAAAACTAACTTTCAGTTACATTAATTTCTTTTCACTTTTACACGAAAATTAAATTTGACAGGTTGATTTTCCGAAGCTGAAAATGTAATTTTTTGAAATTCTCTTATTTTTTTTGGCGGAGATAAATGGAATCTATTTGTTGGTCTACTGTGTCGCGCAGATAAAAATATTATACACGTAAAAATAGTATAAATGTCAAAAATAAAAAAAATAAAAAATTTAAAAATACCTTGGTATCTGTCAAAATTGTTAAAAAACACTAGTATATATATGTCAAAAATTTCAAGTGCATGTATTTATTTCACAAGTTTTTATTGTATATCTTTGTTGATTCTGTAATTTTCTGTTCTATTTTCGGGGAATATTAAGGTCCGATCTTTCTTCTTTATTTCAAGATGAAAATAATTATGTTTGCGAGCCCGTTTAAAAATGGGGAAGAAAACAATGCTTGAAGTTGACCGAGGCTAAAAGAAACATTTGCACAATTGTTTTCAAAAGTTTGCACTAAAATATCATACTGTAATCACTCATATGTAACCAGGGAGCAGCGTGGCAGCGTCTTCAAATAACTCTCCTGACGAAGGCCCTCATGCAGGTCGAAACGTCGAGAAGTGTTTTGTAACTTTTGTCCATTAGGCAGTTGTTATACCACATTTGATGCTGAAATCACTCATGTAAATTTCAATTTAGATCCCTATATTCACCGAAAATGAACGATTTCGTCAGGGCAATCATTATTATTGATTATGACACACCACGCCATAATACGATTGCCCGTATATTTTTACTCGTATACACCATAACTCCTGTCGTGAGAACAGTCATTAACATTGTTCACGGTTCTAATAAGTATGATTGAAGTTCTTGCAATTAGGATGATATTTTTGTTCCTGACGCATGTGGTGCATGGTTGCGGTATGTTCTCTACATTACCATGCATTTTTGTACTGTCAATTTTAATAACAGTTTTTTTGTATTGTATTAAAAAACGACCACCCGTGACATTTATATAATACAGTTATCAATCACTTTAGATTACTTTGCTATCATTCAATAGACATTGTTTAGGCACGAACAATCCAGTAGTTCAAATAATTATTAACGATTACTCATATATGTTCCTGTGTGTTGTCTCGCCTTCATACGAAGTTCAGCAATACTTGATTGTCGTTGAGAGGTTTTTATTGCATTGGCCCTCTCACAGAATGCTTCTCTGTGATCACGAGAGAACGGTATTAGCGATGAACCAGATGAATGAAGATTTAAAGTAGGAAATGCATAAGGAGAACGGGACCATCCTTGAAAGAGCTCTTGCAGCGCGTGATTTTCACTATACGTAGTTTTCGTGGCAGGTAAACCAGTACCTCTGTTGGAGTTCGTCTCCTGCCGTCGTGATTTCGCTCGCCGGTTTTGAAACCAAATCTAAAAGATGAATGAGAATGAGCAATGGACAGGATATTTGTTAAATTTGAACGTTCCTTCCAAATTTAGTCCTAGCCTTGTATCACCGGCTGTATAAAGGTTATTTACAATGTAGTATAAAAACCAGTTGCACAACATGAATGGCAATTATGTTGTAAATAGACAATTCCTAGAGCAATATAATAATACCATAATTAGATAGAGGAACACCACTGAGATGGCTAATCCAAAACGGAAATCTTGTAGTCTGTTTTCCCACCGCATCCTTATAGTTAATGCACAAAAGATTACAGTTTTGTAGTAGCCAAAACATTTAAGTCTCTGTATATACAAGCGGATTAACACTAGTTCGTTTAAACACTTTTGTACGGTAAGCTATAGTTATCCTAATTACTATTTTCCTGTGCTCAGACGATTCAATTCGTGTAAGGTAATAATACATTGCCATTTTATGTTCTCAAACATTCACAGTGAAACCTAAAAACAATTTCATTGTCTTTATAATCCCTACTTTTCTTTCAAATTATTTTATCAGAACAGTTCAGAGGACGTAAATATATAATGCCCGCGTTTCACACTTTTGTTGCTACTTAATTTATATATAGATTGTTACCGGCTATAGCTTCCAATCATGATTTCTGTTTTATTCGTGCAATCAAATTATCTAAATTTGTTCTCAAACCATCGTCTGACCGTATTCTGCCATTCAGCTAGGTAATCAGTTCAAGTACAACTACAGTTAACTGTCGTCGCCCAACGCACCTGCACCCTTGTTTCAGACAACATGAGTCGTCTTGCAATGGCTTCTCTCATGAAGGCATCTGGATAGTGAGTTTGATCAAATAAACTCTCCAGTTCGGATAATTGTTCGGCGCTAAAGTTTTTTCTGTTTCTTGAACTTTTCACGCGAATTGCGCCTGTGAGAGATACCTTCTCATTCCCAGAGCCTGCAACAATATAGGATAAGATCACCTCAAAATATATATCACACGCATGCATTACTATACACATATTTATACTGTACAATATATATATATATATATATATATATATATATATATATATATATATATATATATATATATATAGGTTTATATATAAGTTTTAAGCTATGTTTAAAGAAAAGGTAAATGTATAGCTAATACCATGCACAGAAATGTGAAAACGATTTTCTAAAACAGCTAACAACGAATAATGGCGTCTTCGAATCTAAAGCTACATAAATGCTGATGTACCAGCTGCTGTACTCCATATAATATATAGATTGGAGGTTTAATTTTAAAGTTTAACGACTGCAGTACAACTTGAATGTGTATAAACAAAGGTGATAATCATTTTATTATTTAAAATCCTACACCGAAATCACACTTAAACAGGATACAGAAGACAATGGTTCAATCAAAGATGAAATTGGTTAGCTCTTTCAAGCTGTGTCTGATAACTTACTTGCTTCTGTCACACTGCTGTTGGTGTTTTGCATAAGATCTTCTTCCACTTCGTTTTCGTACCTTCTTCCAGTTTCTTTACTTAAAATGTTCGCAATGTTGAAAGAGTTTGATGAACTGAACACTGGAGACTTTGTTGATGTCAAGCTACTTGAGGGAGCCAAAATACCTTCGGATGAAATTGTTTTCTCCCCTTCGAACCTTGATACAAATGCTGTTAATTTCTCCATTTCATCAGGTAATTAACGCGAGTAAATACACAATTAATTAAACTAATATTTGCCAAGCCGTACGTACTAACCCCGAGATTTGATGTAAACTTATGTTGACATATTCGTATAGGGAGTGGATTGCCTCGCTGGTATGAGATACATATCATAGTGTTTAATATCACAAAGTGTCAAGCCAAAACTAACAATTTCTTCCCAGCGGTTTGTCTTATGTTAATTCAAGTTCGCAACACGGCACTGTTAATTACCGTTCTCACGAGGCGATCAGTTTTGCTATTGTTAATTAATATGTGATCAGGATATAAACATAATTAGACTGTTTAACCTAGCTGATCTCTGTTAGTCTCGGAAAGCTCCACCTAGTTTATTTTACCAAATCGACATTTCCGTTGTTCGATGTTGAGAAAATGGAACAGTTGAAAAAGACAGGTTCGATTTAGAATAAAGGCTATGATCCCTATAATCGTCTCTATATGAAAAAGTCAAAGGCACCGACTCCGCAGTCGATGTGAAACAATATAACACACAAAAGACGGAGAAAAATTGATCAGCTGTTCTATCTTTTGGCAACATATCGTTGTGGGGTGTATGACTAAGTGTACCATAGCCATATAGGCTAATTTTAGACTGTCAAAAGCACAAAAAAAAGTAAGCTGGTTCGATGTGATTCAATTATGCTTCAATTCAGCGCCAAGGTTACTAGCATGTTACGGGGTATTCAATCATTACAGCTCGCCTTTCGTCTAATTCATATTTAGAAAAACAAGATGGTTATGTATCGCTGATCATTAATGGATTATGTTTCACAAATGATTGATAATTTGATGCTGTTCGGTGTACATATGTTTACAAAAGTGCCAATAAAAAGGTTTTTCCGAATATGTCAATTAATATCTGTACATATACGTACACTCTCAAATATGCCGCTTCACGCGAGGTGGCCCTAACGTTGGAAAAGCAAATACTCTTCGTAACTGATGGAGATGGTACTATCGTTTGCAGGATAACGAACGATTTACGATTAGCCGAACACCATCTCAAACTCGGAGCTGTATGAAAGGACCAACGCCAAACCAATCTCCCTTGAAGTTCGTAAAAGACGATCGGGAGGTGGATTGGAGATAGGGGCGTCCCAAGGAAACTCGGAGGAGGACCGTGGAGAGGGAGTTGAAAGAACAGGGGCTGGCCTGGAACTTTCTAGAGAGATGCAGGACCCCATTATCCTGGTTAAATATAATAATTATAATGTTGTTGACCTAGATGTTAAGTGATAAAAATTTAAAAGCATTCAAAATTTTCTGTACGTGTACGTGCGTATAAAAAACGCGTAAGTGGAAAGCAGCCTTAAGACCCACTCTGTCGATCACTGAGCCGTAACAGTAATTTTTTTTTTTTGTCCATCATCTTTTTCATACAAAAAATACTTTATATATAACTCTAGTGTCTAGTCTAGTGTATAATTATGGCAATTGGCAATGACAATGAATCTAGGTAGCTATAACGAGACAACTAGACTAGGTTGAAGTGTCTTTAAGGCGAACAACAAAACATTGAAAAAAAATTACAATTAAGTCAGCAAATAGTATTATCATTTTAAAATATTAGTATTAGTAGCAAATAGAAACAGTATTTTAAATAAACAGTGTAAAGTGCCATTGATTTATTAGACGAAATGGCGCTATATATATAAATCATAGTAATTCTCCATTAATTTATCAGTAATTTTATAAAACAATTACCGCACTTGGGAATGTTGCTTGTTTTCGTGATACGAATCAAACCCACGACAACAACTGCAGGTGTACCTGTAGTTTCGTAACTCAACATTTTAAGCTGATATTCGTACATAAATGCGACTGGAAGCGTAAATGAAGATTTTTTAGCGACTGTGGGTCAATCCTATGTCCAAATGCATTATACCCTAACAATTCGCAGTCAGATGCAGCTCGTATATAATCTCGCGTTTTGGGCTTCAAACGAAATGAATTTATCTTAGTAACGTTGACCTTCAAGTCGTTCATAGCTACTCCAACATATGCATCGTCCGTGTGGAATGGCTTTCTAATATAAACATAGTTCAACAATTTTTTCAGAAGGTCGCTAGATAAAATAAAGAAAGCCCCTCCGTTGAAACGTGGATAATATGTTTTTCCATAGTATTGCCAACTAATTGTCCATTTATTGCCGATTTCGCGATGTACCAGGGTAGGAGGGAGCGCTGTACCACCGTAAAATGGTTTTGGAAACTTGGCATTGACAAGATATTCCAACACACGTGGTATCCGCACGTAGACATCATCGTCTGCTTTCATTATATATTTTGTATTTAACCTCGTGATCCAACGTATACCCATGTATAACTTAATGATATTACCATAATAGTTGTCTGTAATATTTCCTATCATTATATCGTTATGTCGACTAGCTTCAGCCATGTTCAACTCATCATCTTTATTTCTTCCCGGTCCTGCCTTTCCGAGAGCAAATATCACCAGCCAGTTCAAATCTTTAAGTCTTTTATCTCTAGAAGCTTTACCTTGTTCGCAATTATCTTTACCTCCCCAGGTTTGTCGTATAGCTTCGCGACGTTTACGAAATTCGTTTCCTTTGCTACCAGAATTGACCAAAACAATCATAAAAATATTCTGTGTCTCGACTTTGGGCGAAACGTCAGGTAAAACGAATTTAAAATCAACAAAAGGATAGTAATCATTCACGATATCAACAGTATCAACTGACGTTTTTGTCGCAACTGGTCGCCTTTTACTTCTATTAATCTTAACGAAAGGATCGTGATTTTTCACAGTTATCTCACGGAATAAATAAGCCAAAGCAGAAACAAAAATTACCAACGATAATACGATTTTCTTACAATGTCGTCGTAGTGAAATCATCTTGCGTTTCTCAGTTTTATAAAGGCTGTTTTCACCTTAACCATATCGTCGTGACACGCATACGGTTATTGGTGTATAAAAAAGATCATGCATGCATGTATTAGCATTTCAATGGCTGCAGAACTAATTACGCTTCTGCGATAACAAAATACGTTTCTGCGTGCAGTAATATGAAAATAAGCAAACAAAGTGAATTAAGATTAGTTCGATTACGAATGGCTTAGCTATAACTACAAATTTAACAACGATTTTAGGCGGAGACTGCGAAAAACAGGTCATTGGATGGCAACACTTAATATTCAAAAATATTCACTACAACCATTAGTATTAATATTAGTAATACAATAAATAATCCACTTTTTTTTAACAGCGTGAACAAAGCGTGAGCCGTGAGATGACTAACTTTGAGGTACTGAACATGATCCTGGTAATCGTGTAGTAATCCTAGCAATAGCATGTGCCTTTTTGCTGTCATAAACACGTATTTCAATACCTCAAAGTCCTCTCACTTCGCTTCGCTAAATCTACCCCCTACGGTGGTCGCCTTTTTTATGCTATTGTAGTCTCAGTAGGGATGTTCCGTACAGACAATAACGGAAAAATACCTTCAGCCAAATTTATGCCACGAACACAGACACAGATCAATTTCACGAGCACTGGCAATTGGAGACAAGTAAAGCGTATACTATGCTCAATCTTTGACTTCGTCCGCAGTATCGAAAGATATATTACCGTTTTTGTGATACTAAATCAAGATACTCGATATTTCTTATCATAATTGGTATATTTTTATTTTCCATATATTTCCGGCAACATCGTAAGCACAACGTGTCTTCAAAGACAAAGAACAGTCGGTATAACTAGGTTTCCATGATCTTAAAGGTTGAAAAATAAATAGCTGTAAATAACTACTACCTGCATGGTAACTGCTATATAAGTTCGCATGAGTTTATCTGGCTATTTCCAGCGGTCTTGCCCAGTACGACTGCACGTATAAGCCACAACTACATCCAGTCTATCACCAGTTTGCTCAAGCAGACGTCCAGACAACATGTCTCTCGCCAGTCGAGAGGAGCCACAAATTCCGCATACAGGAATCGAGTCAAGTACTAGCGCCATCAAGCAAGTGGTCGGGGCCTCCACGAGTCCACGTCTCAATCTAGGTCTACTACGGCTCCCACGTCGCAGGCTGCTTTGTCAGAAGAACTCGAAGTATTTTCATGTTTCATATTGTTGTTTTCATGTATATATGCGCCAGTTCTGGTATCTTAATACAATCTTTCGTGCCATTCGCTTGTGCCTTATTTTAAGTGCCTGGCGCCTTGCTTTCGCTGGACCGCTTTCGTGCGATGGTGTCATAGGAAGTTACGTCACTAGTTGTATAGTCAAATGGCCAACTCATTTGTCTGGGCTTCCTATGATGATGTTTACCCATCTTGCCTGTTTTCTGGCGATTCTGTTTGTTTTAAAGCCACGGCTGATTTTGCCTGAGTCGGTTTGTCGTACTTGGTTTTGCAATAATTAAGACCTTTAGCTTGACAGTTTACGACAACCCTCTAACGGCAAACAGAAAAATTCATTTCGAATCTTCAAAAAAAAATGCTTGTTTCTGTGGCCGAGAAACGGTGCCAAAAATCTAATTTTAAATGTTATTTGAAATTAGCCGTTTGCTGTTCGCGGTTTGTCATATTGGTTAAGCTAAAGGTCTTTCGTGCACATGGTTTAACACCGCCTCAAGCTATTCTCCCATAGGTTTTTGCATGAATTTTTTTCAATTCATGTTCACTTCACCTCTTCGAAAGTTGTAGCCCTCGTTCGTTTCTGTATGTGTGATGTTTTCTTACTTGTGGCTCTAATACTTAGTTTGTTTCCTTATGCAGATGTTCAGACTGCAACTTATTCCATTGACATGTTATCCCTTTTCTTTCTTCGAGCACATTGTCTACCAATTATGTTCCCTGCATTGCGATGATAATATTCGGCAGTTAATTCCTCATGGCAGATGTCGTTTTAAAGTCAGTTTCCTTGCACTGAGATTTTTTTACAGTTATTTCCTCCGGCATGCAGCGATGCATTAGGCCAATGAAATTATGTTTGCAATAGAATGTTACTCATGCATCTGTTTCCCCATGCACCTGTCGTTTTTAAGGGATGTTTTCCTGCGTTTAGGTATTATTCACTGATTCACTCGAGTCGATCGATGCTGTCGTAACCTTATGTTTTCGGTATTGAGATGTTATGCAAGTTGTTTTCTTATGCATACAGGTATTGCTTCAGACGGCTTTCAAATACTTTCCAATCTTTTATAATCACTGATTAATGCAGAATTGTTTCTTGCTATATAGGAGTTAAAACCATATATTTGTCAAAAACATACATTCTATCTATCCTTTTTGTCTCCTGATTTTGTCTTCTCGAAGATAGAGTCGTAAGCATTCGTCCGTCATTTCAAAATTTCTAAAATAATGTTTGTCCACTGCTTCGTCGTATCCCCGAGATAAAGAAGATGTACAGTCACATGGTTGGGATACGTTGGCTTGCATTCAAAAACGTATTCCTTTTTACTAACCATGGGTGCATATCCAGCATGGTCTAATAATTCATCCAAGTATTTCAAGTCAAAAAGAGTGCCCAATGATTTACCAATTTCAGCGCTCACAAATCTGGATTTGAAAATAAATGGTACACAACTTTTACGTGTACGTCGTGCTAAAAACACGACAGTGGAAGCAGACCTCACACTCCATGTCATGTACGTTTTACATGGAATTATTACCTCAAATTGCTTGTTCTGCAAAAATGTTTGCATATTGCCTTAAACTCACACTCAAAATACTCCAAAATTCCCGTCGGAAGAGCTCCTAATCCCAAATCAATAACGTCGGGTTCCTTCGAAAGAGCTCATAAATCGAAAATTCACTAAAATTCACTAAAAGTCTGTAGATGGATGGTCTTGGGTATATAAGCAACTTAAGGTAATAAATTTTTGGTTTTTATTTTTTATTTATGTGTTCCGGTTAATCCTAGGTCGTTAATCATACTCACACAATCACTGGAGTTACAGTGGAGTAACTAGAACGATAATTGCGGGGGTTTTATTCATATATTCAGTTCTGCCCGACGGACTTTTTTTGTAAGTGAAATAGCTTACTCACACAACCACTGAAACCATCTCGGTCTTTCTGTGCCCAGTGCAACCTCGTGCCCAGTGTCTTTCGTAGGACCATAGTACGATACTATATGATGCTATATGATGCGGTGTGATATAGTATGATGCTAAATGATATGATACAATAGATGTTTAAAAAAGGGTGTCGTATGTATATTGGTGTATACTGAACATGGAATTATTTTATATCGCCTAGCAAGAGAGAGAAAAACGATGCTCTGCTATGGGCATGCATAACCAAAGCTTCGGGACTGAGAGGTAAAAAGCAGAAAACAAGTTCCGAGTAATGAGACATCTTGAGAATGCAATATATGATTCCTACAAGATGCAATTGGAACTGTCTGAAGATTATCACAATGGGCTGATCTTTCAGTTGTGTCTCTACCACAAATAGGGAGATCAGAAACATGAGACAGGCAACCGTGCCCATTTCATCTGTTCAGACTACCAAAACAAAGGCCGAGCACTATTGAAATTGTGTACGGGTACCAATTTTTGCGGTGCCGTGCCAATAAATTGAGTGTAGTGTAAACGGGGCTTTAGCCGTCCCGTGGCGATAAATTGAGTGTAAACGGGGCTAAATTGACTGTATCGTAAACCAGTAAACGGGAGGCTTCAAACACAAACACACCGAAACTTATTGAAAACATTAAGCTGACAGCAATTTGATTTAGCAGATGAAGCATTTTTAAAAGTTATTAATTAAAACACATACACAGAAATGCTGCCATTTGATTTAATAGTATAACATTGTGAAACCACAGGTGAAAACTGAAAACTTATTTTACCATTTTATTCCATAATAATTAATAAATGAAATTTAAATATATGTAGCTCAGTGGGCGTAGGATTTGTTTCTTAGCAACCGTCATTTTCGCGTGATGTTTTTTTGCGTACACATTGCTGCGTAGCAACAGTCATTTTATTGTTATGATGTGCAGCAAGGGAGCAACAAGTGATCAAGTAAGTTAAGTGGGAAAAATGCAAACAGTCCTGTCAAGAATGAACCCAATGTTATGAAGAAAACGTACGGTGTTGTCAACGCCCTGCAATTTCAGTTGACATTCATTCCGCAACGTCCGAAGTCATGTATTGAACGCGTTTCTACCAAGACGTATACTCACTGTCCTGATAGTAAAGAAAATCATGGTTTGTTTTAATTAATCATTGAATTAGCTTAAAGATAATTTGAAGAGAAAAAGTATCGTATATTCAAATTGCCTTGTCTGGATACTTGCAAATATTTTACTTCTACTCGCATGTTCCTTTTCTTACAAACAGCTAGGACGTTTACAATCTTAAATTTATTTAAATTTATAAGTTTAAAGAATTTAAAATTCAGGTTGCTTATATGCAGCAAGTACTCTCTGATTAAAACACAATTCATGGGATTCATTAATGTGATTTCAGGGTTTTGTGGTCTTGGCCCCTCAGCCTCGTTCTCATGTTATAGCCTATTTCCACATTTATTAATCAAAACAAAAATGTATGCATGTATTTCACACATACTTCATGCATGTGTTGAAGAAGGATGTTTTGCATCTTTGGACATGGCTTGTGAGAGTAAAACTTGAAATCCATTTTATTTAAGGTGGTTCGAAATTTAAAATATTGTGATGTTAAAATGTTGTGACATAATTACCAAAAAGATCTATTGTGCAGCTTTGGAATACAAAACAGGCTGAGTCATATATAAGCAGGAGTAAGAAATTTGTGAAACATGTTAATGCATGGTCTGAGTGTTATTTGCCCTTTTTTTATTAATATTTAAGCCTTCAGCTTCACTGCAACAAGATTGTGTGAACAATTCATGGCAGCACCAAAGGCAAAGCGGGCTAAAGTTGGATGATTATAAATTTATGCCATTTTTTTCGGACACAATTCCTACTTACAGTTCTTTTGAAAAGAACTAAAATGAAGAAGAAATTAAGAAAATACCACCAAAACTATAAACTCTACTTACAGAAAAACTAAGAAGATGTAAAAGTCAACAAGAAATATCTCTACCGTCTTCTGCGGAAACGAATAAGCAACGTTTATCAAGTCACGAATGCCTAGCCTTGGACCCAGAGAAAATAAGTAATGGCATTAGATCACAAGTAATACTAATAGTTTTGTGATTTTATAATAAGAATTTACTTTCCAATGGTTTATGTATCGTACAAAAGACTATGTGTCCTCCAATATGTACTTTAATTTATAATAGATTAGAGAAACGAGATGCATATTTGCAATGCAGCAGTACAAGTAACCGGGAATTTATGCAGAAAGATACACCTCAGTCAGTCAGTCTCAGATTTAACGCAGGAATAGAACCATTAGCAATGCCCAGTGTCCCTTTAACTGCCAGCCACAAAGTCATGGAGACTGTGATTGTATAAAGAATTGGACGAAAAACGTAGCTAATAAACGTTTGGTGTTTTTTTATTAGCAAATCTTGATATCTTCAGCACTACGTCGACCACATGCGTCCTTCTATTCCCTTCTTGACTCACAATCAACACCAGAGCCAGCAAAACCACGACGTCCTTCGTATCGTCCAAAGTCAGCCAGTACTGTATACTCATATGCTGAACGACCCGTGTCTGCAAGCGAGACTTCCCGTCATCTTGGGCGACCAACTAAAGCCAGGTACGTAACTTGCCTTGAGGCTTGACTATCAAACATTTTCTTACTTTACGTCATAAAGCACGAATAATGCTAAAGCAACCCCCCAACGCTCGATTTTAGGCCAAAATTACAAAAGTATCGTACGTAGAAGTCTCTAGAAGATATTGACAACCGTTGAGATAGTTACTCTATAGGATGGTTTAATAATATAGTGGTGTATTTTAGTCTTCTCAGGAGCAAATCGTCGTACGACATTAGGGCGACAAGTGAATCTCCTAGACCTACTAATGATAAAAAAATCGTAAAGAAACCTTGTGCTATTCGTAAGTACCGTTATTTAATATCTTGAATTTTATATTGAGCCTTTTTAATGTAATTGCATGTTTTCCTAAATGGCGTAACTCACTTATTTTTTCGTAGGAAATGAATACATCTTACACAAGAATTCATTGACACCCAAAGAGTAAGTTTTAATTTGAGTTCAGTTTTTATCGGCGGTCATAATTCAATTATTTTTGTCACCTCTTGGCGTAACTCTGTACATACCCCAGTTATGTGCAGCTTTGCTTTCAACCTCGTTCCCAGGGTCTTCTGTGTTCATGGCGCGGTACGGGCCCGTCTTCGTTGCGCCCGTACCGCGCCATGAACACAGAATACCCTGGGAACGAGGTTGCTTTGCTTTTGACACTAAAGGTTGTTACGTTAAACTTTCAAGAGTGTTCGATTACATGAAGTCTGTTCATGCATACCTAACTGGAGCAAGATACAACCGGTGAGACACTTCGAACTGTAGCATGAGTTAAAAACTACCTTTTCAAAACTACCTTTTGTTGGAAGCTCATCATACGCATACGCATACCATATGCATGCATTTGCTGGCCATGTGTATTCTGTATGTGGTTCTTCTTTTTCACAGTTCTTAAACAGAAATTTTCGTTCCACGGCCTTTTATCGTGTTTTCATCTGTAGCATAGAGCAAACAATCGAGTTTCGATACGTGAAACTGCAGAGAAGAGTGAAACTGCAGCTCTACTGTAGTTAGTCAATATAAACTGTCTATGGTGTGCGATTGCATTCACCATTGCCAGTGGTAATCCACGTACGTGTACTAAACTATAGCTTTGGCATACTCAAATATCACCCAGTACTCAGATATCTATATATGTAAACAGGCTAACGTCCCTTTTCTACTTTTTTTTAAGATCGCGACTTGTTGATGCGAAGTCACTAACGAAACATGGTTTATACGTTAGTAAAGATGGCTTCGGAAGTTTTATATTAGATAAAACGAGAGAAATGTCTTCTGATATCGAACACGGTGAGATAAATCATTTACAAGACTAGCATGCAGGTTGTGGATTTTTCAGAAGCCTAAACTTTGTTGCATTTTGCAAGGCGTCTTGTCGTGCTTTTGGGGTGAAACGTGTTCATGCATAATTTTGAATTATTGCGAACGATTATATATCTTGATCGTTAACCGATCGTCAACACTATTATTTGGTCATGCAGTCCAAGTGTACTTTAAAATATATTTCTGAAGAAATAATGTTTAGTTTAATACGGAGGGTATTATTAGATCTGCTTTAGAATTGCCTGCGCTGATGACTATAGTTAACCTGAACGCTATATGATATAATACCCCTTAATCCCTTATAGACTATATCATGTATATAATGTAGATAATTACGTATAATCTATAATATAGACGTACCCAAAGCTGCATTGAAAGTTGTAGAAAGCCAAACATCTCAAGCTGATGTAATGCATACTGGAACAAACACTGAACCTTACTACCTCAGCTTGAACAAGTGGCATTGTGCTGAATGGAATCAGGGAAAAAAACATTTACCACCACATAGAAATAACCAACGAAGACCAATTAGTCCAAACAAAGTAAAACCAATTAAAGCAAGATACATTGATTACAATACGATACATTGATTACTATTGTAAAATGACATCTGATATAAAAGATAAAATTATTTTATGAACTTGGCATGCATGTAACGCTAACGCTAACACCCAAAGATTTGTTCTCACCTTTATATACGTCACCGCGTATAATGAAGCAACATCTGGTAATTCTCAGTATATATTTTCAAATATTCGGTCCAAATATTTTTCGTCTAAATTTGTAAATATAAATATCCAAGCATTTTTAGTCAATTGTGTGAAATACAGTTCGTCTTTGAAAATAGCTAGCTATAATCTTTGAATTGAGACCACTTGT